TCTCAGTCTGGACAAAACACAGAAATAATTACCTGACCAGATTCCTGATGTCAGATCCCGGATCCCTACCAGAACAGAGTGGGAACCAACAGGTTCGATGGCGTAGACTTCACTGTGGTCATGCACCCTTCCGTTCTGGCGGAGGACCGCTCGGGCCAAATGCCCAGGTGCCAGCTTGCCACGGCCATCCTAAGAACAGGCAGGAGTCACACGGCCCCAGTGAAGACGGTTGCCATCTCGGTGGAACCTCCAAATTGTCAAAGTCCGATTCAGGACTCACATAATTTGTCAGACCACTCTGTTTATTAGCAAAGCACTTTGCTAATGCACCCAGATGTGAGCCCCTGTCTGAGGTTCAAGATAACTTATTTATACAGCTAAGACAAAGCCAATTTAACATAAGAGACAAAAGAAAGAGAAACTGACAAATATACATACATATCTTATTTGCATACTAACGTTTACCAATCTCCTAGCTCAGTAGGAGCTCTAAATTAATTTAGTTTGAGGACCCATTGTCTCACACTCCTTAATGACAGGTTTCAGAGGAACAGCCGTGTTAGTCTGTATTCGCAAAAAGAAAAGGAGTACTTGTGGCACCTTAGAGACTAACCAATTTATTTGAGCATGAGCTTTCGTGAGCTACAGCTCACATCTGATGAAGTGAGCTGTAGCTCACGAAAGCTCATGCTCAAATAAATTGGTTAGTCTCTAAGGTGCCACATACACTCCTTAATGTTTCTCTTCCTGACAACTATATTTCAACAAACCCTTCAAGTAGCATTTCTTTAATGAATTATAATTTCAATATAATTCATTCTACTTTCACAATCTCTTAGGCTGCATCTGCACTGTTAAATCTGTCATACAGCTGGGGTCAAAGAGGGATCATCCCAACCCCTCTCCCACAACTGCTCCTGAAAAAACCTGTCCCATTGAGGGGGACAAACAGTTGGATTCAGTGCCTGCTGTAGCAAATCCTGCTAGACTGAACTTGGTTGCAGCTGCCTCTGGGGTGGAACACAGCACACGCTGGAGCACTGAACAACAGATATGTGTGTATCTCTGAAACTACAGGGTTGGCCAGTTACTAGAGATGGAATTTGTCCAGGAGTAGTGGGGGGGAGGGGACGAACTGAGGAGTAGGGGGTGATGGGACTCTCTGTCCCTTCTGAAACGGGGGAGGCTGGTATCTGACATAGGGCGGGTGGGCAAATGCTTAGGATTGTACTCTAAGGGTCAGAGAAGCTCTGTTCTAATCACAGAAGTGGCCTTCCCCAGAGCACTGTCCTGGGAATTGCAGGGCGTCTGCATCTGGGCTGCCTGCGGCCTGGTGCTGTACGGCTGATATCCGCTTTGTTGTTCTCCAGGGAGCCGCCCTTTTTGAGCGGGACTGAGCTCCCTCCCACCCCAGCCAAGTGAAATTAGATTCTGAGAAACAGTCCTTTTAAGGCCATCCAGGGCAGCAGAAAGGAAAATGCACAAACCCCAGCCTGCAGGGCACTGGGGAGGAGCAAGGAGCTGCAGACTGCTGGAGTTAATCTTTTAACTAAGTGGGTCACCCTGCCCATAAGACACCCTTAGGTGGTCCCTTGACACAATCCCCCATCCTAGGTAGCTGTTTATCCCTGCAACTCAGGCAGGCCACTTACTTACATATATTTGGTACTGGAATGTTCTGCTGTGACTCCGAGGAACTGCCAGAGCAAGGCCTAGCCCCCCGGGTCAGCCCCCTTCACCGCTCCGCCAATGCGCGAGTGCCGTCCTGCAGCCTCCCCTGCTAGCCCGGTGCTGGGCTCCGCTCTGTCCCCCAGGCTACGTCAGGGGTTCTCAAACTGGGGGTCGGGACCCTGCAGGGGGTCACGAGGTTATTACATGGGGGGGGGGGGAATCACGAGCTGTCAGCCTCCACTCCAAGCTCCACTTTGCCTCCAGCATTTATAATGTGTTAAATGTATACAAAAGTGTGTTTTAATTTATTAGGGGGTCGGACTCAGAGGCTGGCTATGTGAAAGGGGTCACCAGTGCAAAAGTTTGAGAACCACGGGGCTACGTCTACACTTGAAACACTACCGCAGCACGACTGCAGTGCTTCCGCCTCGATGCTACGTATGAGGACGGGAGGGGTTCTCCCATTGCGAGTGTTTAACCACCTCCCTGAGCGGTAGCAGCTGGCTTGACGGAAGAATTCTTCCATCCACCTAGCACTGTCTATGCCGGGGGTGAGGTCAGCTTCCCTAGGTCTCTCCGGGGGGTGGATTTTCACACCCCCGAGAGATGACGCGATCCTGCTGTAACTTTTTCGGTGTAGACCAGCCCTCAGTCCTGACCTGGAGCTCTCTGCTGAGTCCGGGCCTGAGTCCGGGCATACTTGAACCTAGGCTAAGATCACCAAACTCCTTTAATGAGTGACTGACCGTAAGGCCTGGCCTCAACTAAAAAGCTAGGTTGACCCAGCTGTGTTGCTAAGGGGTGTGGAAAAACCCATTCTCCCGAGTGACATAGTTAAGCCAACTTCACCCCCGGCATAGATAGTCCTAGGTCAATGGAAGAATTCTTCCGCTGGCCTAGCTACGGTCTCTTGGGGTAGAGGGGGGTGCGATGGGGTGGGGGGATTAACTACAGTGGGGGGAGGACCCCTCCTGTTGCCATAGTGAGTGTCTATGTTGCAGTGTCGCAGCCCTGCCACTTGTGCATGTCAAGTGTAGACAAGCCCTAAATCAGGAGTTTTGCGGAATATTTTATGTAGCTCTTTCATTACTGCAAGATCTCGACCTCTCCTGACAGAAGAACGACAGCCTCATGCTGCCAACACTCAAGGGGGCAATCTCACCGGGACTCTGTGGGCAGGTGGAGTTTGCAGCCTCACCTCTCAGTCTAAAATATCTATAGTGCAGTGATGGGGCCGTATTGGAGGGTCTCACTGTCTTCAGTGCACTTATTCTCCTCAACCACCTGTGGGGCAGGGCAGGGGTATTACCCCATTGTACAGACGGGGGACCTGAGGCACAAGGAGGCTGTGACTTGCCCTAGGTTACAGAGGGAGTCCGAGAGAGAATAAGGAATGGCCCCCAGATCCAGGCTTTCCCCTCCCCTCTCGCCCCCTCCCCTGCAACCACTGAACCATGCTTCTTTTTCATCATGGCTGTAACACTAAAGCTGGCAGAGGCTGTTAACTCTTCTGGCTGGTGTGTGGCGTCAGTCTGGGCAAACCCGTCTGTATCTCTTGGGAACTTGCCCTGCTGCTTTCACTGATGTTGTGCCAAAGAGCACAAGGCTGCGTGTTCCCACCGGGTGCACGGTCCTTGGAATAATCTCTCTACCTGGCTGTACGGCACCAGAGAAAGCATTGTCCCAACCGCTCTACAGCCCAGTGCCATCGGGCTGGCGGGGGCAGAGGATGAGACCGGCCCTGGAAGGGTATCGGGGCCTGCAATGCACTGAGAAGCCAGTTTAGATGATGAATTATGTCTTGTTCTGTCCTTGGGGGTTAGCTGAAGGCCTGATCCTAATTGATTACTCAGCACTTTATAAAACTTGGGGTCGCATATGGAGGGCCTCAACTCGGTGGTCTCCTTCTGATACCCTTTTGGCACTGAGTTTCCAGGAAAAGAGGAGACCCCATGGGAAGCCCCACTTTCCACCCACGACAGTCAAGTTAGAACTTCAGGGCTGGCCTAGACAAATGTCACAAAACATTTAATTGCCTTGTCAAGTCTGTGGGCATGTCTCCAGATATCCTGGGCTTCCTTGATTCTCTTCTCTGGCGTTGGATCCAAGATAAAACTACAATCTCCCAGGAACAGGGAGGCCATGTGGGAGGCCATGTGGAAGGCTAATACTCCAATAGCACGTGCAGTTGGGGCATTGGGAGGACTGCGGAGTCTGGGTATACATGGCACAGTGACAGATGTTGTCTCTTGCCTTTATCTAGGATCCCCTTCCCCTCTCTCATCCTCACCAGCAGATGCAGGACAGATGTTCAGATTCTAGTGACATTTTTCAGGCTGCTCTTCCAGCCCTCTCATCCCCCACACTCCAGCTCGCCAGTCTTTGGGGATTGTTGCCCCAGGCCTGTTGCTTTGTCATTCCCCTGGGAGATAACCAGGGCTCAGAATGCGGGGTGAGACTCGGTCTGTTTGAGCCTGTGCAGATTCTCTTCTCTTCCTCTCCGCTTTCCAGCTCCCATTCCTTTACCCTTTTATAACGGGGAGTTGCTGGTTCTCTCTGGCCTGGTGAAGAGTACAGGGTCAGTCATGCCCAAAGGGGACAAAAATTCTCACGTCCAGAGGTGATACTATGGTGAGGGGCACTTTAGGTTAACAGCACTTCTCCTGGGCCCCAGGTCTGTCTAGATTCCTTTTCTCCCCTAAAATTCCTTGGCCTAGGCGTCCAAGGAAATGGGGAAATTCCTGTACCTCTGGCAAAGCAATGAAGGGGTGTCTTATTTCTCCATGTTGTAGGGTCACAAATCTCTGTTGCGTGCCCTGTGACCCAAGAATCTGATCTCCTGCCCATGCCCCACCTAGCACTCCAGGGTAGCTGAATCGCCACACTGAGCAGAGAGACGGATCTAGGCCCGGCCATGGGCCAGATGAAGAGCTGCTGAAGACACCACTGAGGCAGCCAGTGTGTGTCCCATATACCAAATGCATCCCACCACTCTTCCCTTATACCTAGGGGCGCCTGCACTAACTACAAGCGCCAGAATGCTATGCTCCAGCTCCAGGCAAGAAAGTTCTGGGACACAAGTAGAAACATTGCTGGGATTTGCAGGCAATGCCAGCGTATGCAGCTCCAATCTGTGCATCACGTGACTTAGGTGCAGAGCGTATGTCCTTGGTTGGAGCCTACACACCTGGGTTTTGAGATGTCCCTCTGACATTAGGATCTTTCCCCGGCACCTGCGGGATGTCCTGGGTTCTAATTGCACCATCCAGTGGTTGTCTTGCTCAGTGCTCTTGGGGTGAATCTGTTTTTTTCCTGCCTGTTTCCCACAGGATGCCGAACTGGGGCGGAGGGAAGAAATGCGGCATGTGCCGGAAGACCGTGTACTTTGCCGAGGAGGTGCAGTGCGAAGGCAACAGCTTCCACAAGTACTGCTTCTTGTGCCGTGAGTACAGCGCCCCACGGGGTCCTGGCCTTTCCATTGACATGGCAATGCCGTGGCCTGCTTGCTCTTGCCAGCAATGTAAACATACCCCTGCCACTGCAGAGCAGACCCAGATGGCTGACATTTGGCTAATTACTGCTCTGCTGGGAGCAGCTCTCCGTTCTCCTCCAGACGTGGGGAAGGGATTTTTGCAAAGCACTGTGGGTGATATAGGGACTGAAATGCATGGATGTTTTCCCAAAGCACTCCTGACAACTTCCGCCCCCACATTGCTAAATGAAACACTAACCCTAAACCACACTAGGGTCTAAAGCGCAGGCCAATGCCTAAATGCACCATTTTAAAGCCCTGGCTGTACCATCCCACAGCAAAGCCATGCTAGCGGTGTGGAGGGCTAGAAACTCCATGAGGGCGCATCTCTGCCCTGCCTCTGAATGAAGAAAGAAGGGTTTGTGTGGGACCTTGCTGGCGGCTGGAGTGTGGTCTTTGAACCCTGCAGGACCTGGGGATCTGTGGACAGAGGATGCTGCTTTGCCTTGTGCTTGCTGGCCATTCTGGTGACCAAATGCCTGCAACATACCCGATGCTGACAGTTCGGTGCCTGGGCCACCCTCACCCATCTGGCAGTCGTAGCCTCAGCCCATCCGTATGGCGGCCTCCACATGCCACCCAGCGCTGGAAAGGAGGCCGGCAACTGATGCACTAGCTCCCACCTGGGTGGAGGTCACCTGTGCTCCGAGAAACGCTGGGTTGAGTATTGCAGCTGCTTTCCACTGCCGGCACCTCCTGTCCCAAGCAATGTAGTTCCCCAGAGATCGTAACTGGCAGGGGAAGGGGAGGAGTTTCCACAGAATCCGGAGTTTATGCAAGGGCACAGGATCGCCGCACCCGACAGGTGCATTCTGGTGTCTGCTTCCCCGCACAGGAACTGGGGCACGCCTGCGAGCCCCGGTCTTTTTTGCTTCTCCCCAGCGTAAGGCTACAGCTGAACTACAGAGCCTAGGTACGCCCTGGTGTGGGTGCAGCATAGGCTGACCGAAGGAGTTTTCTGCCTGCGTAGGAACAGCACCTTCCCAAAGGACATTGGCCAGGCCCACAGAAGCACAGTTCTGTCAGCATAACTGCGTCTACACTGGGGCTTTTGCCAGCACTGCTATATTGGCTGTGGGAGTGCTTTTCTCCCCCCGCCCCCAACACCCCCGGGACAGATGTAGCTGTGTAAGTTTTAAATGTAGATTAAATGCCTGATGGCTCAGCTGGCGGGGATTAGCTGAACCGCTGGGCTACATGGGCTCCGAATACCAGCCCAGCTCTGCTACAGGGGGCTTGGGAAGCTCTTAACCCGCAGAAATTCCTGACATAACCCTCCTTACATGGCAAAAACTGTCCTTTTCCTTTTTCCCCCTCCTACTCTCCAAGCACAGAGAGCGCTCGGGGAGCTGCTGCCCAGGAGGAAAAGCACCATATTTAGTCATGGGGATGGGAAGCGCAGATTTAAGATCCCATATTTAGGTGAAAAGTGCTGGGCCTGCAGAGCGTTCAGAGGGGAGCGCTCGGCTCTGTTTGCATTCTTGAAACATTGTTTAAGGGCAAGAAATTTTTCTTCTGGCAAGGAGACAAGCAGGCCACGGGGAGCGGCTTCCTGCTGACATTTAAGGCATGCGTGTGGGATGGGGGTTGAGTCTGTCAGTCACACACCAGTGTTTGGCTGTTGCTGGACTAGCCGCTGTTTCCCTCCTCCAGCCTCTTTGTTCCTTTACAGCCGGAGGTAGGTAACTGCCAGCTGGGATGTTGTGAGCTCTGCCCTACCTCTGATCCTGCTCCTCCCTGCCCCTACAACTTCCTCTTGGATTATCTGATCCAGTGCTAGGGCTTGGAGGTCAAGTGTGTCTAAGCATCCAAGAGTGCTGTCTGTGTTGCCTGTCGTCGGCTATCTAAGCTGCCAGTCTCCTGATTGGCAGGAGAACACTCCAGTCGGGGTTGGCCTGGGCCAAGCTGGACTTTCTCCTGGCACACACACTTTCTGCTATCGTCCCATGGAACCAATCCCTTGAAGGTTGGGATCACTGACCATCCATTGCAGCCCTCCCCTGCCTGCACCATTCCTGATTAACCCTTAGAACTGTGCAGATGAGCTTTGTAAAGGGATTTCATAATTTGTCGTTTCCCAAATTGCATCCACTCTGCCCACTGGCAGCATTGGGGTTAATGTCAATTTCACCTTTTAACGCTGAACTTCCTGGCTTTTACCTGGGTGGGTGGATCGGTTGTTTTTAACTCATGCCAATGTTCCTGTAAGAATTTTCATCTGTATGTTGCTCTGCACACTCCACATTAACAAAGGTTTTGTCTGGGAATTTCCTTACTCCTTAAAATCTGACACATAATATGTCTTGGGAGGACTGATGCTCTCCGACTTGCTATTGTGTTCTGGCTGCCCAGAAGCCAGAGATGACTCCTGGCCAAGGTCTGTGGGTGACGTTCCCCTTGTTCCTCTCCAGTGGTCTGTAAAAAGAACCTGGACAGCACCACCGTGGCTGTGCACGGGGAAGAGATCTATTGCAGGTCCTGCTATGGCAAGAAGTATGGCCCCAAAGGCTACGGCTATGGGCAGGGAGCAGGGACCCTGAGCACCGACAAGGGAGAGTCGCTGGGAATCAAATACGAAGAGTGAGTTGGAGCCTTCATTTAAAAAATAGTGACTATAAAAGGGGATTGGAGAGAGGTACCCACATCCCAGCTCTGGGTGCCCCAGTGGGGAGGGGCATTGTGGATCCCGGGGAGCTGCACTGTGGACCCCGGGGAGTTGAGCAGCTCTGCTAGCATTTCCTGTTCTGAAGAGATCCTGCTTTCTACCGCATCCTTCTATTTCAGTGTAAAGTTCTGCACTCTCCTGACCTCTAGTAATCAGCAGTTTGGCTGGCAGGCTCTTCCCAGCCTTGTAAACGCCAGCCTCTGCCCAGGATCCGCAGACTGGATCAGTCTAGTGCCTGGCTGCAGCTGGGAGTCTAGCTGGGCCATTCACTTGCTGAGACGATGCCCCCTGCCGTTAACAAAGGCAACCCTGAGAACAGAATCAAGCTGGCAGCTAGAACGTAACCTAGCAGGAGCCTAACGAGACCAGTAGCCCTTGCCCTCTTGGGCAGTTTGAGTACCAGGAAGAACAGGAGGCCTCTACTCTGGGGCCCAATACAATCCGAGCTTGGCTTAGGCCATGTCTACACTCAGAATGCTGCAGTGCTTAGGGGGAGACACTCGCTACAGCAAATGCGCGATGGGAGGGGATCTCCCATGGCTGTGGTTAACGCACCTCCCCAAGAGGCAGTAGCTCGGTCGATGGAAGAGTTCTTCCATCGACCTAGTGCTGTCTACCCTGGGGGTTAGGTTGGCTTGACGTCACTCAGGGGTGTGGATTTTCACACCCCTGAGCAATGCTGCCGGGTTGCACAAATTTTCTTATGTACACCAGCCCTTCAGCTGTGTCTTCGCTGCCCAACAAAGGCGTATGTTTACAGCGTCATTGCTCTGTTGAGGTGGCCTCACTGTAAAATCCCAGAGGTGCTGGAGTTCTTACCTCGATGGAGTTTATCATCATCGAGGCAGATCCCAAAGGGACGTAGCCCCCTTGAAGATCAAGCGCCACCTGGATCAATCTCTAGCTAGGTCCTTCAGGTGATCTGGCGGGGTGTTCGGCCTACAGTTAGGTTTGCATGGCAGCCAGGGCTGTGACTTGCAGCTTGTGTAGACTTACCTGCGCTAGCTGCACCCTAGCTAGCTTGCTAAAAATAGAAGTGAAGATGTTGTGGTGTGGACGTCCGTGCAGGCTGGGCAAGGCTGCTTGACCCCCGCCCCCCCGGCTACGTACTCATTTGTGCATCCCAGGGTGATGCCTGCATCACTGTACCCTCATGTCTGTTTTCAGACAGCTACTTAGAATACAGCTAGCGTGGGAATGTCTACATGAGCTGCAACGGCACTCGTGCACACATGCTGCAGTGTAGACGTTCTCTTGGTCCATCATTGGCCACCGAAGCCTTTGGTGCGCACGTGATCCCCGGCTGTGCAGCAGCATCCCTTGGTAAGCGCGCTTTGTAATTCGGTCCATCCTAGTAACATGTCCATACCAAGAGAGCTGCTGAAACCGAACCAATGCTGACAGTGGGTGCTGGGTTCGGCTACAGAGAGCTAGTCGGGGTCAATCTCAGGTGCAGGATATAGGGTTGACTCGCCTACCTCCATCGAGTGACGGACTCCGGCACCTCGTGCTGTAAACACCCACCTTTTGGGGGCAGTGCAGACCTCGCCTGGTAGGCCTTGCAGAGCTGGTGGGGAAAGGGAAACTTCAGTCAAACAGCAGCAAGGATTTTGACAAAATGTTGTGCTGAAGTCTTGAACTCTCCCCTCCTGCCTTGGCTTATAGCACCTAGGAAGCCATCCAGGCTGTGGGAGGAGCTTCTCCAGCCAGAATTGCTGGCCCCCTGCAACATAATGGGAGCAACAGTGCCTCTAGCCTGCCGTCTCTCATGGTAGCGCCCTGATCCGTCAGGGCCGTGCTTCACTAGTGGAAGCAGGCCCCCCATGGAGCATGCCTGCACTGTGTGCCCCCTGCGGGGAATGTTCTAACCCTTCTCTCCCAGTGTGTAGATGCCCAGAGCTTCCGAAGGGCTCAGCCCCCAACGGGAACCCATGTGCTGAGCCCTTCTCACAATCTGGCCCTAGCAGAGACCTCTTTTCTTCTTCCCTGAATGTGGAGCCCCCCTGTCTCATCAGCTGCCCCTGTCTGCTGCTGCTTCCCAGTCATGCAGGTCAGGTAACTAAATCTCTCCCTAACTGGAATCCAACAGGAGCCAGCCCCACCAGCCCACCAACAACCCCAATGCCTCCAAGTTGGCTCAGAAGGTGGGCGGTGCCGACGGCTGCCCCCGCTGCAGGCAGGCTGTGTATGCTGCTGAGAAGGTGATTGGCGCTGGGAAGGTAAGACAGCAGTGCTGTGGGGGGAGATGACTGCAGGGTGGTGGTTCTTGAGTCAGCATGTGGCTGAGACCTCTGAAAGGGTCCATGAGCTAGGGCTCATGGTCCAGGGCCAAGCCCGGATGCTATCGTGGGCCAGATGTCCAGCACCCACAAATGGGGCTGGATTTTCAAGAGATCAGCTAGCGCCCAACGTGCTGTGAGCTTTTTTGAGACTCTGGCTCCTCAGGGTGGTGCTGGCCCCTTCTGAAAATTCTGTCTTTATGATATGTGCAGGTGGCAGAGAGCCACATGCATGGGGTAGCCACAGGTCCTCTCCATCTCCCTGATCCCAGGGGACCATGGCTGGTCCCTTCTCCTGCCCCCCCCACCCCATGCCCTGGGAGGAGAATGATGTGCCACACAGCCCTGGGCTGGAAGACAAGTCTACTGCAAGGAAACCCCCATGTTGGCATTCTCTCCTTAGGCTCTAGAAGGCTGGATCTGGCTTCCACAGCCCAGTTCACCCAGCCGGTGGCTTCCTAAGTCTTCAGACCATTGGTTCCTCTCTCCCCCAGCACTGGCCCCTGCATAAGGCAGGGTGATGAAGTATCCAGACTCTTTGGGTCTTCCTCTGGCCTTGCCCTGTGAACACATACAGCTCTGCTAACGCCTCTGTAGCATCTCCTGCTATTCCAGTCTTAGACTCTGCCTTGCCCCCCAGGACCTCTGTGCAGTCCTGACCTGCAGCACCCTCCACTAGTCCAGCCCTGGGCTCTCGGTACACAGCTCTGCTAATGCCTCTCAGTCCCAGCCTGGGGCCCCCACTGCTAGTCCAGCCCTGGGACCCTGACAAAGTTCTGCCGATGCCCCTAGCACCATGTGTGTAGCTGAGGCAGAGTCTGACCCATTGGCTCTACAGTCCAGGAAGGCCCCTTCCCTGCACCAGGCCACCCTTCATGTACAGGTGTGTCTTCACTGCAGAGCTAGCCCGGTGGCTTGGCACCTGAGTCTGAGCAGGCAGGTTAGCCTCGCCCGGCCGTGAGCCGCCACATTGCAAAGCCTGACTCATGTTACTGGGTCCTCACTGGGGCTGTGATCCTCGTGGGCGTAGCTTGGACTACTGGGGCCATGTCCCATGGTTCTGCATGCTGCAGCAAGCTGAGCTGCTCTGAGTCTCTCCCAGTGAATTGTGGGAGAACTTGTCTGTCCTGGGCACATGGAATTGTGGGAAGGCATCGGAAGGCTACTGGCTTTCAAGTGGGTTTAGCCCAGTGGTTCTCAACCTGTGGCCCACGGGCCACTTGTGGCTCAATCAGCACAGAGCTGCGGCCCATGTGACCTCCTCAGGGCCATAGAGGCTGTATTGGATGCGGCCCACAATGGTAAATAGGTTGAGAACTACTGGTAGCCTTTTGTGTCCTCACTGCAAAGTGGGTGGGTTACCAGCCTGAGCGGAAATGGAACCAGGCTTGGGCCAGCTAGCCTGGGCTGGAAGAACCACTAAACTTGAGTGAGAGGATTTTGTGTGTGTGGATGGGAGGGGGGTTAGGGAAAACACCCAGATAAGAGCCCGTTGTGATCCTGCAGTGAAAACAGACCCTTAGAGTAAAAATGGGGGCACAGTGTTTAGTGGGAGACTTTGCCATTCTACATCTTTGAGTAGCTGAAGCTGGAAACATTGCTGTGTCTAAACAAACTCAGAGAGGATACCAGTGTGTGTGTCTTAAAATGTACTGATCGTTCTTCTGCTGGTGGCATAATTCAGCCTGTTGTCTCCGCCTCCTGCCTCTACCCCAAGTCCACATCTTATTTTCCCAAAGAAGGTTCCATGTTTTCAAAGCTGTTTTGTTTTTGTTTTTTTTGAACTCCTGTGTCAGCAGCTCTCACTATTTGCAGCTCCATTGATTTAATGCATTAGGAATTCTGGGAGCAGCTGGGAGAGCCCGAATTTTAAAAGTCAGCCTGGTGCCTTTGGTCTCAACATCGGGATGTAACTTTCATTGGTGCTCTGTTCTGATTCTAGTGCTTTAGGGTGCGTTCATCTCTAGAATACAGAGCCAGGGCTCTCGCCAGATCCCTAGGGGATGCAAATCGAATCGCCACAGCTGGGCTGACTTCAGAGGAGTTTTGCTGATCAACAGCAGCCTAATGTTTAAGAGTTAATTCTTTACAGGGGCAAATCCTAAACTGTGGGTGGCTGGTAGTTTGGAAACAAGGTTAAAGGAGCATGTTTCATGCATGCCTGGTTGAGATCTGGATTAGAACAGCCTCCGAAATCCCACTCGCCTGGGATCTTTTCTGATGAGCCAGTTAGTTTCATCTCACCATGGTAATGGGTGACTTTGCCTGAGCTGATCCAATGGGTGCAGGGGTAGCCCATGCTCCCAGCATGGCTCTGTCTCCACTTTGTGTGCTGAGGTCCTGGGTTCAGTCCCTAATGCAGACAAGCTATCGAGGGGCATTGTGTTACGTGGGGAATGGAATATGTGAGCTAGGCTAGGGCCGGATGCTGCTTCCCAGGAAAATTCTGGCTGTGATTTGGGACTTGCGCTCAGAAGCTTTAAAACCTCTTTAAGGAGGGGCTGGGCACTGGGGTTTGTTGGCAGGAGGATCCTGCCCAGACAAAAGGAAGTGTGATTAAAGCCAGTCCTTCCATGTAATACTGGGGATACCAGCCAGGGCCTGCGAAAGGGAAAGCCAAAGCTGTGCTGCTAGAAACAGCTACACTGGGGGGATCTGGGTACCCCAGAGACACACTCGTCGTAAATCCACTGTCCTGTGGAGATTAAGCCACATTTTAACAGTGTCCGACTGGTCTGACCCAGGCTCTAGCATGGTTGAACCCCTTCTGGGGAGAATGGGATTGTGATCGGGGCCTTGGAAAAAGGCACTTTTCACTGTAGAGCTTCCCCTGCGGGCAGGGCCCTGGGGGTGCTGCCGGGGAGAGCCAGGGAACTGACATGCCCTGGGTGTCCTACCAGTGGGGGACTGCCTGAGCGGCCCCCTGCTCTGTGCCCCGCACCCTCTGACCGCGCTCTGCTCCTCTCCCCACAGTCGTGGCACAAGGCCTGTTTCCGGTGTGCCAACTGTGGCAAAGGCCTGGAATCCACCACGCTGGCTGACAAAGAAGGGGAGATCTACTGCAAAGGTGAGCACCCCCCTTCCTGGCGTGCTGGCATCCCCAGGGCCCAGGGGGAAAGAGGACTCCAGAGCAAGGTGCGGGACAGGGTATTGCGGGTGTGCAGCTTCGGGGAGAAGTAATTGCTGACCCCAAACCAGCACAGGAGATGCTAACAATTGTATGTCCTGCTAAAATCCTGGGGGGTAGCTGATACTGAAACGTGAGTGGACAGGGAAGCGGTCCGAATGGCCCCAGAGGAGCAGGGATGTGCCTGGGAAGCACCCCGTGTATGGCAACAGCGAGCACCCGGACGCTCTAGTGGCCTTGAGGGTGCTTGTGGGTTAATGCCGTGCCAGCCACACAGGCTGGAGAACCACTGGGTCTCGCCACATCTAGCACCTACAAATGACCTCACCCTGCTCCACCTGGGCCATAGCCAGGCTGGTCTAGGTTTGTGGGGGCCTCTGGAAGGGCCAAGTGACTCTAACATGTCAGTGTCTTGCAATGGGAGTCTGTAAAACCCCTGATGCTTCTGCTTTTGAAAGAGGTGGGCAGTGCCCACCCTGCCTGCCCTAGTAGCCCCAGGGGGGCAAGGGCATCAGTGCCTTCTTTTACTCTTCCTGCCCATGAGTCTGTTGCCACCACATCCTCTTCCCCCCCCCCCATCCCCCCTCCCCAGAGGAAAGCCAGGCTCCCTTGCAGCTGCTCCCAAAGTGCTGGAGCTGGCCGCTGGGTTGCCCAGGCATGACTGGCTGTGTGTGTCCCCAGCTCTGTACAGCGGAGCCCCCCCCTGCCACTGCCTGGGTTTGTGTCCCTTCCGGTTGATCTCCGGAGCGGATGATCGCACACCTTTCATTGCACCAAACTCTCTGCCAGAAACCAGAGACTCTGCCATCCCTGATTATCCTGTGAGCTCTGCCCAGGGCTTACTGACAGTGAATCTGGGGGGTTGTCACTGGATGAGGGCCAGTGTGTGGGTGGGATCTAGGAGAAGGGAGAGAGTTCCATGTGAGCCTGATCTCTGGGGCTCGGTTGGGAACACTTGTCCACATCGAGCAGTAGAGGTGAGAAATTAACCCAGGATAAACTTTAAACCCCCTCCCCTGGCAGCCAGCTAACAAGGGCACCTATCTGCAGGCTGGAGGAGAGTTGCAGTGGATAAGGAACCAGGCTGGGAGCCAGGACACCTGGGTTCTACTCCCAGCTCTGTCACTGACATTGCAGCATGACCTTGGGCAAGTCCGTTCCCCCCCCTTTGTGCCTCAGTTTCCCTATGGGGGTAACGACAGTGGCCCTCATTCATAAAGGGCTTTGAGATCCTCTGATGAAAGGTGTTAACCAGTCCCCATGTGCTTGTTTCTTCACCCTGTTTCTGCCTGCCTGTGAGATGGGGCCTAATCTGAACTCTGGGAACAAGCCTATTTTAGCACTGACCCCACACCGTAAAACCACCTCCCCCGCATCCCTATGTCCCCTGTGGCTGGCACCCCTCCCTTCCCTGTGTCGTCATCACTCATGGCTTCTCCCCTCCCGCAGGATGCTACGCTAAGAACTTTGGGCCCAAGGGGTTTGGCTTTGGGCAGGGAGCCGGTGCTCTCATCCACTCCGAGTGAGCTGTCAGGATTGGCTCCTCTGCCTCTCCCCTGCAGTGCTGAGCGCTTCGCCGATACCAAGCTCATCCAGACTGACCTTCAAACGTGGATCAAGGCAGCCCGATCCTTCCCCCACTTCCTGCCAGTGCTTCTGTCAATAAACTCCTGCTTATTCTAACTAGACCACCACCCACTTGCCTGCTGGTTTCCTGATCCAAAGCTCACCGAACGAATCGGGAATCTTCCTGTTGACAGCCGTGGGCTTTGGCTCAGGATTGAGCAGCATAGGCCAAATGGCCTTGACACCCGCTCTCACACATGCAGAGAACTTTCCACTCAGCTGGGGCGCGTCACTTTGTAGGTGGTAGGCTCACCTGTGAAACCTGGATGCTTATCTAGATCCTCTGAGGCTCTGAATGCATCAGCCATCCACTAGGACGTCAGAGGAGTATAACAAGCCTTACTCGATTGTTCATAGATGTAAAAAAAAAAATCAAAGCTGGCAAATGATTGGGGCTTGTGGGTGGGTTATTGTTCCTCTGGAGATAGAGGGAGACGAAGATCCAGTGACTGATGTGAGTGAGAGATACAGACGAGGGAGAGGAGAATATTTTTTAAATAGTGTATTGTATTTAAAATACTAATTGGAGGGACAGTCCAATATAAATCACTGGCCAGCTCCCCAGTGGCATACATCGGCATAGTTCCATTGACTTCAATAGAGCGATGTGAAGTTACACCCTGGTTCTAAAACTAGTGTGCTTTCAGAAGTGGCCACTGACTCAGATTGCCTCGGTTTTGGGGAGCCAACAGGGTCCTGATCTCTTTCAGAACCACTGCAGCTCCCACTGACTTCAAATGGGTACTTGGCACGTCTGAAACTCCAGCCCCAAGCTGCCTGGTATGGTGTTCCTAAAAACCGATGCCCAGCGTCACTGGCTAACTTGGACACATTTGGCCGAGATTTCTCTTCCCGCGTTACTAACAGCACCTTAGCCTATTAACCCAAGAGCGTGGAAAAAATCCAACTTGTTTTTCACTGTTTGTGCCACTGTTTTGTGTTTCGCTCAGCTTGAACACTGATATCAGTTTCGTGCTTGTTTCATAGTTGGTGCCACCGTGTTTGGGTTGCAAACTCTGTTGGGGAATGTTTGTATGTTTTTAAAAAAAAACGGGCCAGTTTTGTCCTCGGTTACAGTGCTGTATAAACAGACAAATGTGCCCTGGTACCATTCTCCTTGGGGGGCTTCAGGTGCGGCTTTGCTTTCATGGGCTCAGATACCATCTGACGCCTTGAGCAGAATAGAAAGATGCAAAAACTGACCAAGGAATACTAGAACATGGGATCACACGGAGCGTTCTTTGGGTTTATACCTAAAACTTCACTAATTCACTTGGCATCATTCCCTCCCTTCAGGGTGTTACCTGAGCAAAGCTCACAGCTTTCATTTCTCCTGTTTCCTCCTGAAGCAGGGATGTCAAGGACTCCACAGACCTTTTCCACAGTGCGGGAGAAACATTATGTTGCAATATTTCTACGGTATGTGCCATGTGCAAGGATTGCGTTCAAGCAAAATTATGTATTCAATAAAGCTCTGAGCATGAGGCTCTTGTTCAGTCTCTTCTTTCCCTAGCAATAAGAGGAGTGATTCGCCACATGAGAGGAGAATGCCTTCTTTGGCTTCATGTGAAACTGACTCTGTAGGAAGGGAACTGGCTGCTTCCTTTAGAGACCTGGATCAAAACTACTTCATTACCTCACTGCTTGTGTCATCAGCAGGATTTGAACCTGGGACCGTAGTGTTACAAGCAGCTATTTCCACTGCATGCATCCGATGAAGTGAGCTGTAGCTCACGAAAGCTCATGCTCAAATAAATTTGTTAGTCTCTAAGGTGCCACAAGTCCTCGTTTTTCTTTAAGCAGCTAACTGTAGCTCAGAGGTGGGCAAACTACGGCCCATGGGCCACATCCAGCCCATGGGACCATCCTGCCCAGCCCTTGAGCTCCTGGCTGGGGAGGCTCACCCCCGGCCCCACCCCTGCCCTGGCTGGTAGCAGTATTAGACTCTTCTAGGAGCAGCCTATGGGAAACACAGGCCATATGCTCTGCTAAGGTAGGTTACACTGTATTAACTAGTCAGGTCACAAGTGGCATGAGTTTAATCTCACCCCAGGGCCCCGATTTCTCCACCCCCCCGATGCCCAGTCTGTGGGCATCTAAGCCCAGGGCAGGCCTGACTCTGAGTCAGGCCTGGGCTGTAAGAGCAGAGCTACCTGGTTAACCCTCATTAACTTCGCTCACAAATGGACAAGTCCCCAAGCACTGCAGTGTGGGTAAGGACCCCAGGCTGGAGCTGCTGCCCCTGAGGGGGCTCCAGGGGTCTGGATCCTTCATTCACCATCTTCACCTGGTTCCCAGGAGCTCTTTCCATCACCGCTCTGGCATCAGAGCACTCCGTGGGGAGGCTCTGTCTGGGCAGGGTCTCTCACCGCAGCTCTGCAGCCAGGCCCCACCTCGCAGCTTGTCTCCCTAATGGCGCCGGAGCCTGGCTAGGGACAGAGCGTGCTCTCCTCGCATGGAGCAGGGACGCCTCACTAACAGCCAGAAGTCTCCCTCGGCCTGCCTGGTTGTGCAGCAGGAGGGCCCCGCTGTTTGTGGTGCGGAGGTCAGTGCCCTACGGGGGACAACTGCCCCCGCTGTCAGACCACAGCGAGGACACTGCTGAGAACAAGGCTGAGTGGGTCTCATTTGCCCCCAAGGGATCTGTCTAAAGCCCAGCTCCCCCCTCTGCGCCATAGGGGTGTTGACACTGTTGAAGATCGACAGGTGGACAGAGCTGACGTGTGCTAATACTCGACCTACTAGGCACCCTCCATGCTAAAGAGAGGCTACGGGAAGACACAGGTCGGGGCTGAGAGGCAGCAACACAGTTGTGTGGGGAGCCCAGGGCTGGAATCGCAGGGTGCTGCAGGTCAGGATTGAGGTCCAGGGCTGTGTGTGGCTCAGAACTGAAAGGGGGGGTGGGGCCCTGCAGGCCAGGAGCAAGGGGCACTTTCAGAATGGGGGTGGGGGTGGGGAACAGTTGTAACACCTCTGTGGGGCTTTAGGCCAAAGGTTTGGCTCCTAGCTGGACCTATAGGGATCCAGAGACCTTTTTGTGGTAAATGGTATTGGTTTCTTTGCCAAATCCCCAGCCACCACCAAGGGGCAGGGTATGCTGGGCCCTGATGATAGGACTTGGTAAAGCACAAGGCTGGGGGTGATGTCCAATCTACCGTGCCCTTCAGTTACCCTGGCACAACTGGGGCAGACTGATCTGAGCTCTGATCACTGGCTCCATGACAATGCTGGATCCTATACCCTATACCCGCTGGCAGCAGGACTGCGGTGTTAAGGGACTGGCTCCGCTCGGCTGCTCCTTGGGAAGGGAAGGGCTGGGGCAATTCAGAATCTGAACCCAGCAGAGTTGGGTGAGTGTCTGTGCTCTCTGCTGGCAGACTCCTGGGCACTGCAGGCTGAGATACCAGGAGGGGCTCCAGGGTCCCAGCCATTAGATAGGGAGGGGAGGGGGCTGGGAATTTTCCCACGGAATGCATCTGGATCAGAAGGTTTCTCAGGTGCAGGTGGAATTTTGAGGGGGATGGGTAGAGAGAGGCCAAATGACCCAAAATAGCCAGTAGCTAGGGCCATCACCTGGGAGCACTGGGTTGAATCAGGCAGAGTAGGTCCCCTACATCCCAGATGAGGGCCCTAACCACTGGGCTATTGGCTTTTTTAAAAGGTCTTGGTTTCCTCTCAGGGCAGAACAAAACCAAATCCCCAGCGCTGATGTTTTCTGTGAAAGGGAAGTGGCGTTTTCCAGCCAGCTGTAATGGGGAGGTCACTTAAGAGTCTGGCACGTGTCTGTTTGAAGCAAGCTTTTTCCCCCCCTTAGGTAGGAAGGTTGCCCCAGTTGTTAGTGTGTTAGCTTGGGACTGGGGAGACCTGGGTTCAAGGCCCTGCTTTGCATGAGCTGGGGCACGTCCCTTAGCCTTGCTCTGCCTCAGTCCCCCAGCTGTACAATGGAGCTAATACCCCGCAAGGGCGTACAACGGTAAATGCATTACAGGCTCTGAGGTGCCCAGACGCTTCTACGCTGGGGGCAAGATAAACACATGAGCCTGATTCGGCACAAACGCTGGCAGGTTTCACAGGCTGGGCCGGGGCTGGTTGGGGTTGGTTTGGCCCATGTACACTGTTATCTCAGTGCATGGAGCCCAAGGCGATGGGGGGCTATGCAAGCGTTAAGGCCAATGGAGACATTTGCTGTATTATCCCCGCACTGGGCGAGACCTCTGCAGTCACTGCCTCCGAGAGACCATGTCCTCTCTCAGGGCTGTGCTCTTGGTTCCTTGTGCAGTCCTGGCTCCCCGGCATGCAAAGCCAGGCTAACCTAACTGGGGATCCTCCCCCCAAAACACCCTCCTTCCTTTGCTGGTTTGCCCTGCAAATCAGAGGGGCGTTGCCATGAGGTACAGCGGCAGCAGTGAAGCAGAGTGATGCTGCCACCATCTCAGGCATTGCTTTTGTGCAGGTGGGTTGTGGCACCAAGTCTACAGGACCCCACGCTCTGGGTGTCCCTAAACTGCTGCCTGCCAGAAGCTGGGACTGGACAACAGGGGATGGCTCACTTAAGAATTGTGCTCTTCTGTTCATTCCCTCTGAAGCACCTGGCGCTGGCCACCGTTGGAAGGCAGGACACTGGGCTAGATGGACAATTGGTCCAACCCAGTGTGGCCGTTCTTATTGTCCGATCTGATCTCTCCAGAGAGAACATTCACGGTAGGCCAATGGGCTACGATCTCTCTCTAATACTCCCTGCCCAGCAGCAGTTGGGGCTGTGGTTTTATATCTGGGTTTTTATTGCTTTCTTTTATACCCATCTCCTTCCTCCTCTTTCTCTCCCTTCTAGCGTTCACTTCTCTTTCCTCCTTTTTCTTTCTCTCTCTTCTTTGCTGCATTTCATTATGGCCGTGGGAGGGCCGAGGGCCGCCATGGGCTGACCTGACAGCGCAGTGACATCTCCCAACTGTGCGATGAGCTCACTGCGCTGGGACATCGCACCGTGGTGACACCATGCTATGGCCGGGTGACCTCACAGCCCAGGAGTCTCACCTCTTAACCCATTGCAGGGCAGAGGAAGCGTTACTGAGAGCATGGCATGGATGCATGGCAGCTACAATTCTGGAAGAGTCAAAGGTGGCCACAGCCCAATTCCAAATCACACACACAGCGTGCTCCCTGGATTTCCTTGCACGGAAATGTTCCAACGGACTGGGCTGGGGGGTGGGGGTGCGGAAATGGTGACAATGGGACAGTTGCAGGTCTCTGACACCAGGTGGCATTGTGGAGTCATTGCAGAGAAGGGCCCTGCTCCCTTCTGTTCCCATAAGGGGTGATTGTGTTGCAGGCCAGGAGAGGAGTATTTGAGGCCCAGGGCTAGATAGATTTGGGAAGGAAGAGGCTCTGGCTGCAGCTCATGTCGGGGCATGCTGTCATGAGTCAGCACCAGGATGTGATGCTCTGGCGTTGTCACAGAGTGCAGGAGGTGCGGTCTGTCCCCCTGCTAACCCTGACCTGGCCTGTGGTGCAGGGGACAGACCATAAAACCGCAATCCGACCCTTACAAGCACCTGGGTTTTCCCAAGTTGCAGTTGCTTCGTTGCTACTTCTCATGACCTCGAGGACTCTGGGCTGCCCACATGCAGCTCCGTTATGCGCCAGCTCCTTGCTGCAGCCCCCAAATCTAGCAGCAAGGTACCTGCCAAGGTCCTGTTGACACTGTAGAAATGTTCTGTGCAACAGCCCCCAACATGGTTGAACCCTGGTCAGTCATGCAGTGCCCTGTGCCTGGTTCTTCCTGCAACCTTGGCTTATAGGCTGGGTCAGGGGCTTGGTTTGATCCAGTCTATGCTGCAAGATCAAACCTTCAGGGGGGGACGGGGGGGGACAGGGACACAACTGTAAAGTGCGGGTTGGATCCCTCTTGGTTGACATAGAGAATAACTTACTACCGCTGCCAGCCAATGGTCCTTTAGCTCAGGTAGGAGAGGTGTGTGCTTGCATCCTGGGTTCAACTCCTGCAGGGGGCTGTAATGTAGTACAGGGTAGGTGGGACTGAAGTTAACCCCAGGAGATCCATTTGTGCTTTTGGTTACTCCAGATTTACCCCGTGAGGCAGGGGGGAATTGGCCCTTGGAATCATTAACTGGTTCCTAGATACAGCTTCCGCTGGGATTTGCTACCCCAGCCCTTTTAATGAGGAGTAATTAGCCGTGTCTCATTCTTACCACAGACTCGCAGCTCTGGCCATATCCAGCAGCTGCCCTGGGGCTGTGGATGGCTGAGAAATGTGGGTGATCAGTGGCTGCCGGCTGCATTCAGGGAGGCTCTTTCCAACAGTACCTGCGCTCCTCTCCCCTGGGCAGCACCATCGCTAAGATGAAGGGAGCAGCTGGAGGCTTTGCAGGTGCCCGCTGCTCTCCCAGTGCCATTCAAATGGCAGCCGGGCCGGGGTGGGTGGGGGTCTGAGCCATTCGTGTGGCAGCCAGCCCAGCTGTCCTCA